CAAATTTAAAGCAAAAGATGTTTTCATAAATAGTACCATGTCATGCATGTATTGCACTAACCTTGACACTTTATATAATCCACAATATGTGCCTCACTAATTGTCCACAATAAACCCTTTTCTATTTGACTTGCTCACAAATCAATAACAATCTGTATAAATCACAAATTCATAACGATACATATGTTAGTATTGTACTAACATAAACACATCCCATAACAACTCCATAATATACTTGGAACTCATTTTTCTTCCAAATATTTAACACTTAATAATTCATTTTAACATTGGCACCAACTTTTCCAATTAAATAAAATGGTTCTTCACCAATTTATCACTTAGATACATCATGATCGGATATTTTATCCTTTAAAATTACGTTTTCATGATTTTGCTCGATTTTGATTCGATTCAAGCATGAAATCAACTTTCAATCAACCTTTTAACATCTCTACAATCAAATCCCTAATCAACTCTCATCAGAACACAAATTTCTCCAACTTATAATTTGGCCGAATTTTACATAATAATCTCTAGAAAGATTGAACATGTTTTAACCATAATTCAAGCTTGAAAATGAATCTACAACCTCTAAATCATCAAGATTTATCATTAATTTCATGAATCCTATCATGAACATAAACCCTTAGATTTGGGATCTTAGAAATCCAACAAGATTAGAAAGAAATATTGGTACCAAATGATAGCGTTTTTCGCGTAGATCACTTTCCTATTTCACGGCATAACCCAAATTCCAAAAGAATTGACTCAAAAATGAAAAACAAATATTTTCCCCTTACCTTAGTATAGCTCACGTCCATGGAGAATATATGAACACTTTGGCATGAAATTTCAAATATTTTTCATGCTTATTTATCTTTAAATTATCATTTAATGAATAATAAATTCATTAAATTGAGAAAATATCAATATACCCTTAATGAAACTTCATAATTACCATAAAACCAAGATTCTTATCCTTATCATCTTCCGAATCATATCACCTGAACCTTATCTTCATCCATAAGTCAAATATGAACAAATAATATCTTAGTTTACCGATTTGCCCTTGTAAGTTTCCAAAAATTACAATTCAGTTACTTTAATCAAACGGTTCAGATTAAACATGGAATTAAACCATTAAATAATATTTTCCAACATTTTAAAAATGTCAAAATAATATTTTTATTTTCTTATTTTCGTGACCCATTTGTAACTTTTTTAAAATTACACTTTGATCCCTAAACTTTTCAAAGTTTATACTTTGGTCACCAAACTTTACCAAATTTATAATTTGGTCATTAAATAAATCCATTTATGAAATACAATTCTTTTTGGGGAAAATTATCACTTAATTCCTTAAACTTTTCCTAATTTTCTACTTTGACCATCAAACTTTCAAAATTTGCATTTTGGTCATTATCTAAATTTTTGGGGTATTACATGATTGCTCTTGAAGGATTAGACACAGGAGAGGAAAAAATCGAATTGACACTTTACAACGTGCAGGAGATACAAGGTGGGATTCACATTTAAATTCTCTTTATAGCTTGCTCAAGATGTTAGATGCTACTTGTTTTGTTCTCAAGAATATCATAAGTGATGGAAATTTGACTCAAAGAAGCGAAACATATAGTGTTTTTGATGTGATGACATCTTTTGAGTTTGTATTTATCTTGCACTTTGTGATAGATCTCTTGAGCATCACTGATGATCTTAGTAAAGCTTTACAATGTAAATCTCAAGATATACTAAATGCTTTGCATTTATTATCAAGTACATAAAATCTTATACAAAGATTTAGAGAAGAAGGGTGAAATCCTTTACTTGAAAAAGTAATGTCTTTTTGTGCTAAACATCATATAGAGATCCATGATATGAATTTTTTGCATAAAAAGAGGGAGAGGGAGGTCTCGACTTCAATGAGATGTCATCTTAGTTGGGCATCGTTATGGTGTTGATATATTTATTTTTGCTATTGATTATCAAATACAAGAGATGAACATTAGATTCAAGGATGACATGGTGTAGTTACTGAAGCTTAGTTCTACTCTATATCCAAGGGATGATTATAAATCATTTTGCATTGATGATATATGCGAGCTTGCAAATAAATTTTATTCAGAAGACTTCACGGAGCAAGAAAATTTGCACTTGAAAGTTCAATTAGAACATTTTGAATTAGAAGCTAAAGGGAGTATTAAATTAAGAAAGGTATCAACAATTTCAGAACTTTCTCAAGTATTAAAAAAGACTAAAAAGTCAATTATTTATCATCTCCTTGATCGACTTGTTCATCTTGTTTTGACTCTTCCTATTTCTACTTCGACCACAGAGCAGGCTGCTAGTGAAGACTCACTTGTGTAACAAAATGGAGGATGATTTTTTGTCGAGCTACCTAATAACATATATTGAGAAGGAATTTGCTCTTGATTTATCTATAGATTCTCTTATTGATGACTTTGATCTAATAAAAGAGCGTTGGGCACAATTTCAAATGCCTATTTTTGACAAGTAAAAAAGATCCTCTTTGTAATATTTTGTAGGTATGTTATTAATACTTTTCTAGTTTTCTTGGAAGTTGTTTTTAGTTTATTAAATATAAAGTTCGCCCCCTTTGACATAAAATCATGCATGTGTCCTTACAGACACTTGAGGCTGGAGATGATATAAGCAAGTTGTATAACAATGGCGATAAAAGAAAAGAAAGAAAGAAAAGTAATAATGAGAGAGAGCCGAGTCAATTGTCATTTGTGTCCACGTCGAGGAGTAAAGACAAGAATAGACATAGAATTTTATATTAAATGACTTCTAAAATTTTAAGAGCTCACAGAACTTATAAAATTTCAGAAAACGAAAATATATTATCAATAAAAAATAAAAAATATATAATAATTATAAATTTTCAGATAACGATTATTCTCACCATCTCTTAGAACCATCCTTCGAGATATTAAAGTGATGGGCACAGATCAGCGGTGGCACGCCTCATCTTCTTGATGGATATTGGTGTCTTACTGGCAATTGGCAAATATATTATGATACAATAATATTGTTCCTTTGCTTGGGGCTTTTCTCTTTGGTTTTTTCAGCTATGATATGTGCATGGATGTGCTATTTTTAAGACTAAAATATGGAAATCTGGGTTCGACACACACACACATATACACATAAAAAGTGGGCATCATCAGCTAGGGACGTGGAGCTTCTTACGATCACTAATATGTACGTGGGAGATTAAAATATTCAAATGGAAATGTCATTGATCATGGAGTGGGTGACTTATTTAATGCTTACACTTTGAAAATAAATAAAATTATGTGTATTACATCATTTAATTGAGTGTTATATTGAAACCTTAACTGACAATCATTAGAATATGAGAGAATAAAAACAAACAATTTAATTAATTGGCATGGGATCCAAACCCGACAGATTCTGACTCGATCTGATCCAACTGATATAGAATTTTTTTTAAAAAATTAGGGTTCGAGTTGGGTCGGGTAATTTTTTTAAGGTTATGTCCAGGTTGGGTCGGGTTTTGGGTGAAAAATACCCGATCCAACTCGAAAATTGTAATTTTACTTTATATATTTAGGGATAATTACAATAATACCCCTCTATATATTATTTTTTTAATTAAATCTCTATTTTTATTGAATAAAAATAATATTTTTAATAAATATATTATTTCGAGTCAGATTGAGTTCAGATTTTATCTCAACAAATCGGATCGGGTGGAAAGTGTATTTTTTTGGGTCAAATTCGGGTCAGGTGGACCGAATGACCCGACCCGACCCGACCCATGCTCATCCCTATACTATTAGTCAGTAGACTTGACAAAAAAAAACGAAAATGTATTGGTCCGCAGAATCTACCGAGTGAGATCTCAAGAATATTAGACTTAATTAATCTTATTGGTGGAACGAATCTGATAATTTAGTAGATTATTCGCAAGTTGTGTTTGTCTCCTTCTGCATCAATCAGACAAATACAAAAAGAGTAACTTAATCAAGCATTAACATGATCGTTAAATCAAGTTATATTATTATCCGTCAAAAATTAAATTAAATTTGGTTGTTATCTCGCCGATCGTGGCTTTCCGTCTAAACCAGAAGGGTGAACAACCAACCCGCCTTCGAGACCAATTTGTTCCCATGAATAAAATTAATATATATTTGGATGAATTTGAGGATAGTCAGAAAGATTTAAAATTTTGGGGATGAAATTAAAATATTCAAAAGTTTAAAGATTAATTAAAAATAAAATTCATAGTTTGATTAATCTAGAGTAATTACAAGTGGTCGTATTTGTTCTAAAAACTCTCACCCATTTGACAATGAACACTCAACTACCATGTGCAATTGTTGATGCTCGAATTTGATACCTCTAGGGATAACAACAATCTCTTTAACCACCGAGGTTGCTTGATTCATCCTCATATATCATTTTCAACATGTTCAATCACGCTCATACACGTTTTCAACATGTACCACACACGTTATTAATTTTTTAATGAAATTCATATAATTTTTTTTTTTACATTTTTGGTCCATTATCCTTCGTTTCTTTCATTTTTATCATGAGTGATGTTAGCATAGGATAAATTGTTAAAAGGATGTCATTTTGATCAGTAATATTGTTTGGGTGTCGTTTTAATAAAACAATTCTTAAAATGGTATTACTAACATAATATTACCAATTTGAGAACTATAACCCTAATAAATAACGTAACGCATTCACTTTAATTTCTAATTAATCCATCATCAATGAAAACTTAATTATTGATTATTTACACATACGTATTTTATTTAATTATTAAAATCCAATTAATATTTTTTTATGAAAAACAAAGATCAATTAATATTAATACTATCAAATCATTTTAATGATTAAATTTTCCAAGATAATAAATAGCATACAATTACTTATTATATATGTCACATTCATATAATCTAACATTATTTTATTTAATTTTGATAGTAATTTAAGATCTAATATCAATGGCTCAGGGTCTCGAGAGCGTGTAGCTGCTTCATATAAATAGAAATACAAATGTTTGATAAAAATGGTGGAACTCATACTGAATCAATTCCCTGCCATTTCAACAGGCAATGCAAGGTGTAGCTGCTTCATATATCTTTACCTAAATAAAAGCTTTTTATATGGACCCAACCAATGGGTTCGAGGCGAAGCCGTTTCCAGGCAAGTATTGCACCAAAGATCGTTCCACACCCGAGCTCCTCGAGCTGTCCACGAGCTTGAACCACTGGCTCGAAGGATCGCATGTGTTATCTTTGCTAATGCATTTGCAACTGTTCGTGATGAGAGTGTTGTCGGGACCTACATCGAGACAAACGGATTTGCCGTCTTCAAGCTTGGTCGAGAGATGCATCTTTGATTCCGATATCATTTCCCATTTCGAATTCGAGTCGGTACAGAAGATACCGAGTTTCGCCACAGTCCCGGATTCGTCTGCTTGTAAGCAGAAATAAGTTCCTTTTACTACCAAAGTCTTCTGGGGTGAGTAACTCCAAGCGTCGGAGTCGGTACACGGACCTAAGCGCAACGGGTCGAGCAATGATTTTTTTGTGACACATAGTCCTGTTAAGGGATGGAAGATCACTTTGTGCAGTTTGGCTTCCGATAGACCTGGACCTGCATATGCCATTGCGGAACAACAAAAGATTTGCATAGAGTTTTCAATTGACATCGATATCGAACAAAAAGGAAGTATTATATGTCGGCATACCCCGGAAAGGAGATTGGAGAGTTGAGATTCTTTGTAAGAAGCTTGAATTTCTTGTTTCGCACCAGTTATAATTCAAGACTCCGTAATATTCGTTTAACCCGAGAACACCTTCTCTCAGATAATAGCTCCCAACAAGTGTCCACAATGCCCAATCGAGGTCAAGTTCAGCTGCCGCACCCAAGAAGCAGTTCATGTACCTATTGTCATTGACATTGATTCCTCTTTGGTCGATTCCGAACTCGCTAACGAACAACGGGTATCCTTGATCAACCAAGTACCCTGATGTCCTCATCACGTTTCTCGTCACTCTGCCGCACACTTCGTTCGGGTTGCCGGTCACCCATGCCTGCCCATCGGAGAAACCATACCAATGCGCCTCGAATACTAGTTTCCCGCTGAATGTGAGCTTTACCGATCGGTTTTGGATGAACGACAAGTCCCTATCATAACTCAATCCCGAGAGTATAACGAGAACATTCGGATTTGCCGAGTGCACTGCTTCGGCCCCTTTCTGCATGTACTTATACCAATCGTTTACGTTTTGTTTCTGGCCTCGAAGCTCATTCCTCAAACTCATGCCGACCACATTAGTAACAAAGTTGAACAAGGTCGCCATTCGAGTCAGACCAGTGATCCATAGGTCCGGGTTGAAGTATATGTCGCCGAAGAAACCATTGCCATCGAAGTTGCTGCAACACCAACCGGGGGTGCTTATGTGATTGTCAAGTATGACCATCACATTGTTCTCCCCTAGGCTTGACACCACTGCCTAAATATCAATTTAAATATTTTAATTTCATTTGAAAATTTCAAAAATAATATAGATACTGTTTTATTACTATAAAAAGTAAATTGATTAATTTTAAGATAAATATTTATTTGAGAGTGGGGTCTTCCTAGGGTTCACTTTTTCTTCTTCTCTAGGCAACCTAATCGGAGAAAACAAGGGCTTGATAATTTTATTTTTCTTTACCTGATAAGCTTTGATGAGGGTAACGTTGATGATGGAAGGGTTGTTGGCTTGGATTCCGGAGATAGATTCGAGGAGGCCGAGTCTTTGAAACGATTGTCGAACGGTGAGGGATGCCAACGAGTCGTTGGTGACCAAATAGAGTGGCCAAGTGAACCTAACGCAGTTGAACCCCATTGACACAATCTTCTTGGCCAACGTATCCATAGGCTGCTTGCTGAGCCCTTCGGCGAGCACCGGTTCGAGGTGCGACACCCAGTTTACGCATGCTAGTTTCACCCGTCGTCCTCCCTCATCGACGATCCAACGTGAATTCGTCGATAGAGGGAGAGACACGACGATGGGAAGGAATACGAAGAGAAGGAAAATGGACGAGGAAATGACGCTTCCCATGGTTTTGTCTTGAAGGAGAAGGTTGCATTGGAGAACTTGAGTGTCTTCTTTATATAGTTGTGCGTATATCGTTGTCAATAACAAAAGCAAACACACAAAAGTCGTTTTAAGCATTATTATTGGGGAAAATATGTAAATAGTCATTTGATTATAAGGTATTTTTGTTGAGTTCTCATAGATTATGAAAAATTTAAAACTTATCACAGAGTAAAAAAAAGTAATAAATTGATTATTTTTCAAATAGTTTGAACCAAACGAAAGAAAGAGAAAAAGAAGAGGAGCATTATACTAATATTTTTCAATCAGAAAAACTATCGAACGTCAACAGAAACAATGACGAAAGGAGGCGACGGTCTAATAGAAACTATAAGCTAAAACTTTTTTATATGTCATTGTTAATCGCTAGATCAACTTGAAATCGAATTATGTTGATCTTCTGGTTAAACAAAATCTTCCCACCATTAGGATTGACCGATGACTGTTCCATTAATCGTCAACACTTTCAAGTTTGTAACAACAATGATCATGATGAAAACGAATTAAAAGTTTAGTGATTATAATACATGTTTTAAAAATTCAATAATTAAAATAAAAACATCCTAAAAGTTCAACGAATACTAATATAGTACAAATTATTTTATCAAAAAAGTTTGCTTTAAGCTACTTGAAACTTTTGAGCTTGGAAGTGCTGAATGACGAAGGTGATTATAAAACAAACCTGAAATAGAGCAGGGGTGTTTATAACCTTTTATTGGGGTATTATTATATTTAAAAACCCCATTAATTATTTTTTAAGAAATAACTCTTAAAAATAAGGTCAGGCCTCGCATTTTAAGAAAAGCGAATTTTATGCATTTATTATTGAATTTATTCAATATTAAATGACTTTATTTGAAAAAATTGATGGGTCTCGTACCCTATAAAACGCGAGGTCTATTAAACATTTCATAAGACGCGAGATAATCCTACTTGGACTCTTTGGGGGTTATTTTTCTCACTAATTTGACATGAGGTTATTTCTCAAAAAATTAATTAATGGGGTTTTTAATATAATAATGTCTTTTATTGGATTCATTAAAAATAGGGTAAAATACACAAATGGTCCCTCGACTATAGGGTATTATTTTATTAAGTCTCTCATATTAAAAATTACAAAATGGTCCTCTAACTATAGAATGTTGCTTTATTAAGTCTCTCGACCATTAGAAGTTACAAAATGATCACTCGACTATTCATTATGTTCCAAATTCGTCATTTTTCGTTAAAAACTTATTAGTTTTCTAAGTTGGGCGTTGACATGATGATTGAGATATGATACTCGTTTGCGATTCTGAGATCATATTTTATCATATCACATTTAGTAGGTTAACATTCAGCTCATAATACCGTCAAATTTTTAACGAAAAATGACAAGTTTGAAACATAATGAACAGTCAGGTGACTATTTTATAACTTTTAATAGTCGATGGACTCAACAAAGCACAACTCTATAGTCGAATGATAATTTTGAATTTTTTTATGCTAGTTGTTCATTTTACTGAAAATATATACTCTAAAATTTTATTTGTATCTGCTCTCATACAAATTTCTTTTATTATTAATATATATGTGTGCTGACCTAAAAATATCAAGGGATTCGCCGTTGGATGTCACTATATGAACATGTGGAGTGTCTCCACCATAAAGCAACGTGCTCCACCAACTCAAAAGAGAAGCTGTAAGTAAATAATTACGCTTAGGCATGCACGGAGGAGAGATGATATTTTTATGCATTTCATGATTTCAAGGGAAGGAAAAGCAGGTTTGGTTGGTGGAACGAAATGATCCATTTTCATGGACAAAAGTAGTGGTTAGCGTTCGATGTGGAGCGAGTCAAAAAATTTCGAGTAATTTGAGTTATCGAGTTCTATTTTTATAACTCAGAGTTGATTTGAAATTTTTTTTCAAGTCAAGTCGAGTCAAATTTGAGTTTTTATTTAAATTTAATTATAATTATTTACAATATTATGATATTATTTGATTCCAATTTAAATGGTATTTTATAATCATATACAATATATATATATATATTTTTCGTATTTTCTTCATATGTGATTTACATATACCATACAAAATCGGGAGACTCAGTTCAAACTTCAACTCAAACTTGAAAATCAATATACTAATTACTTAAAATTTCGAATTATTCGAGATGTGTTTTACAACTCAATTTGAATTTGAATTTTTTTCGAGTCGACTTTTTTCAAGTCAAGTCGAAAAAATGGGATTTTCAAGTCGAAAAAATGGGATTTCCAAGTCGAAAAAATTGGATTTTCGAGTCAAATCGAGTTTTATCCACCCCTATACAAAAGTATATTTCTGCGTTCAACATTCAGCCCTTTTGGACCATTTTTTGCCTCTTGTTGTTGGTGACACGCCAAGTAATGGACTCGGATAGTTGAAAGAGACGCAATTAGATTAAAGTAGGGACGGAAGGATAGACGTAAAATTTTATGTTACGCGAAATTAATTTATAGAATTTTAAGGGTTAGATTTTATCACGACCGGAAAGGGATTTTGATAAGCATGGAAATCTAAATGATATTATCCCCACTCCTACATTTTACTTTAGGGTTAAGATATTATTATGACTGGTGAGGTGCAGATCCCCTTTGGCTTTGAGTTGGGTGGCCTTTGGCACCCTTTCAAGGCAATGCATTCCCTTTGCTTTTCATATAGGCCATGCCGTGTATGTTCAAGGGTCGGCAAAATCACTCATGTTTTCTTATATTTCTAAGGACCATCTCCTAAAATACGATCGAAAAAGAACCATTACGGCAAAATCTCACGTATTATAATTCTCTACCCATGTCAAAAGGAATGAATCATTAACGATCAACACGATTATTTGTTTTCATATACGATAGATCGAATTTAAATTTTATTGGCGAAAAAATAACCTTAAAAGAGTATATTCTCTCCTAAACGAAATCGATCCAACTTGATTTTATCTTCGAGATCAATGTTAATGGATTTCGATTTGATGAAATCCCAAAATCTCTAAGATTTTATTCATATGAATCTTACCTAATATAGATTTCTAATTAAGAAGAGCAAGATATTTCCTATATCTCATTAATCACAAATGTCACCATACATAAAAAGAAAATCTTCAAATATGGAAAACCAAAGAAGAAGAAGAAACAATGACAAACTTGGCATGTTTGAAATTGTAATGTGCTTCCTTTTGATATGAAAATTTTGTAATAATATAATTTAGAGTGTAAGGGGATAACGTATATGGCCTTTGATCTTAGTTTTGATTTAATATAGGTTATTGTGGATGGAGATGGTTATGAGTCGAGTTAGATTAGATTTTTGGTTTATTTTAATTTTATTTGAGTATAACATTTTTATTTGTTATTTAATTTGATTCAGATTTAGAGAAATTTTATCCGACCCGAAATTCATCTTGATTTTTAAAATAAAAACCCGCAAACCCAATATATATGTTTCTTAGGTAAAGTACGTGAATAATATTTTAACTATAGGATATTATTTTATTAAGTCTTCCGACTATTAAATTTTGTATATGGCACGTTCTTTTTTATTATTGTTATTATTCATCTAGGGTAAGTACAAGGAGTCAATATTTGTTCAAAAATAACTCTCAACTAGGGATGAGCATGAAACCAGAATCCAACATGTTCCGACCCGACCTGACCCGATCGGGTCATATTTTTTAAAAAAAAATCATGTTCGGATCGGATAAGATTTTTTAGAGATTATATTCGGGCCAAATCAGATTTGGGTTTAGGGTGAAAAATACCCGAAACGACCCGATATAATTACAAAATAATGTTTAAGGTACTTACTAAAATGCCATCACATATATAGGATATTTAGGGTTTTGGTTCCCTTTCACTTCTCACAATCTTATATGTCGCTGCTCCATTCTCTCCCTCTCTATCTTCTTTGTTTTTCTTTTGGTTTTCACTTTCTATCCTTTACCACTAAAGTCGCTTGAACATGTGACTTTAAAGAATAACAACAATTCATTTACCAGTGGAGTCGCTCGATTCATGCTTATATTGTCATTTACAACATTGTATGCAATGTTTGGATACAATTTTCTGCGATATAAATAAATCAGTAATCAATCAGTTCCGGAACCTAATAATATAAGCGAAGAGCTCACGGATCGTTTGTCGGCATGAACGTGGCCGGCGAATACGACATCGACTTTGTACCGGACAAACCATGGCTTGTACACTACTCTCATAGTTTCTCCTTCAATGTAATGGAAGATGTAGCTGTTATACCACGGGCAAAGTATAAGAACTATTAACCATGGTGTCTCATTGCTGTTAACTTTCGGCAGCACTGCTTCAAGCCATTTGTACTGAGGAGTGTAAGGCTTGAAAGATTCATTTTCACCCTGCAAGAGGAACCATAATTATGTTGTTACCGAAGGCCATAAGTAGTTGAAAATCAGAACTGTCACGACCCAGCCCGATTCACCGGGTTGGGTCGTGATGTATGATTACCGTTGGTCCTCCAAGTTATAATGCCGAAGGTTCATTTTTTTTTTGTACTCGGCGTATTTCACTTCGGCGCCGTTTACAAGGTCCGCCACAGGCGAGCTCCGGCAAGCTACATGTTGAAAATCATCGGCGGACTCTCCTTTGTCATCGAGTGCCTCGGAACCTATGACTCAACCTCGGGTGAGAAAGCAATTGTGATGAAGTACATGGACGGTGGAATGCTCAATACACTTGTTAAAGCAAATGACCCTTTCTCCCAATCAGACCGGTTTCTGAGATTTTGGTTGGTTTAGGCCCCTGATCAGAGATTCAAAATACAGCTTGAATTTTTAATAATATATGCTATTATGGACATAACACTTGTGGATATTGTAGTTACAAATGATGTCGTTATCACTACATAACGGTCATTATTGTGGTTACATACCATTATTTAAATATAATTATCTATAAATATACGGTGATAATTATAGTATCGGGTCGAATAAAATTTTCGCTATAAATTCAAACCTAATTTAATCGGATCCATCTTTAAAAAAACCTGGTCCAACTCGAATCCAAATAAAAATTTATATATTAAAAATTAACTTAATCAAATTAGGTATAATAAAAAAATCATTAAATCCGAATAAAAATGACTATTGAGAATGAGTAGGGATGGGCATGGGATGGTCAGGTCCGATTTTCGATCCACCAGATCAGATCCGAAAATTATAAATCTTCCACTTTACCCGAATCCGACCCAAAAAATATACACCTTCCACCTTACATGAACCCAACTCGATTTTTCAAGATAAAATTCAAACTCGACCTGAAATAATATATTTATTAAAAAAAATTATTTTTATTCAATAAAAATAATGATTTAATTGAAAGAAAATAATATATAAAATAGTATTATTGTAATTATCCTTAAAGATATAAGGTAAAATTACAATTTTTTGAATCGGGTAGAGTATTTCTCACCCTAAAATCAAACTCGACTCGATCGGAACATAATCTTAAAAAATCAAACCGACTCAAATCTGATTTTTTTTAAATATTACTCGATCGGATCAGGTCGGATTACGTCGGGTTTCCCATCCCTTCTTCACTAACTTATGGTGTACTTTATCCGATATTAGTTTTGAATATTCCATCTGTCCCCAAACTCAATACTCATCGAGAGAAAACTTGAGAAACACTTAACTCAACCGCAGTTAGAATTCAAACCTTAGTTAGCCGACCATTGGAAGAGCAAAAATACTAAACAAGTAGACGGTCCAGATTAATCCACCAAACAGATCCAGCCGCTCGCCTGAGAACTGAGATTAAGCTTGATTATTTCATTCACAATCCCTTTCTAAATTACAATTCGCAGGAATTGTTCTCCTCACAGATTCGATAAAATCTAAAGAAAAATTAGGGTTACTGTTTAGCTTGAGATGGAGATGGATTATGTGACCGAGTTTCCTCATATTCACATGGATCGCCGACCCATGAAGAGGCCTAGATTAGCTTGGGATTTTAATCAACCTCAGCAAAAGGTAACTTCTTTTTTTCTTGTTATATTTCAATTTTTTTGGAAGGTTCAATTACTGTCTGCGTCGTTAAATTCGCTGCTGATTTGCTCTGATCATTAGCTTAATTGTGCGAGATTTCTGCAGAAAAGGTGAATCTTTCATCTTTTGGGAGGTAAATTTTTGTTTTTTCAATGGGTAAATTGATTATTCTTTCATCTTATGGGTGATGCAAAGTTTTATGTTGTTTTTCTTATTAGCTTCTTTGTGCAGTCGACATGCTGAGAAATATGTCAAGAAAGGGAAGCTGGATTGGCCGGCGGCTGCTACCTCTACAGAAAGCATTAAAGCTGTTCTAGAGTTGCCTCGTCTTCAGGTGTGTTGTCGTCGACTACTACGATGAATCTGCAGGCATGTATGCTATCCTCGTTTCCGATTTAATGCATATTTATCTTCTTGTGGCAGAATCTGGTGATGCAACATGTAGATCATTCTGCGGGGTATCAGATCGACTTGTTGCAAGGTCTTCTTAAATTCGATCTGGTCTTCTTAAATTCGATCCTTGCAGTCGATTAACGGCTGGTTAAGCCCTAAGGCACCCCTTCTTCACCAAAGATCATTTACAGAGATTCTAAGTTTTTCCCTTTTACCCTTTTCTTTCTCCAACACTGGTTTTAAGTGTGCTTGCTTAAGCATGTATATTGATGGGAGGCTTAGGCAAGAGGGGCTTGCTGTTGGTGATTGACAATGCTATACTCTTCTTATCGTAAGGAAGATTAAAAAACAATTCAGGAAATACACTTAAAACTGATGCTGGTGACGTTGTTCAGATCCCATTCTGTGCTCTTAAGAAGGCCACAGTGGGGCCAAGAGCACTGCGTCTCAGGGCCCTATACGACCAGCCACTCGTACCCGAACTGTCTGCTCGACTCCAACCGTCGTCTTTAGACAGTTCTGCCTTCTTTGCACTCAAGGCCTCGTTAATTTCGTCCCATACATTTCCCGGACCATTAGCTGCTAAAAACATGAATACCTGAGTTGTACATCCAAATAACCTGATATTCAACACGCTGAGCTTTATCCATACCTTGCGCAGTAGGTGGTGCGGCTGAGACAATGGCTGCTTCCTTGTTACCATTTGACTGTCTTGTTAAAACATTAGGATTGCCATGCTTGACAAGGCGGATGTCAACTAGAGAGGAATAATCTATCTGAGGAAAGAGAGAGAACAAAAAGGCTACATTTGTAAGCTTCCTGCACTCTGGAAGAAAGCATAAAAGAAACACAGCTGGGGCACAGCCCTAGCTTTTGCAATGAACCTTAATTACAGATATGTGGATCCTACGATGCCAAAGTTCTAGACATTCCTGATCCTTTAACCTACCTATTTCACGAAGAAAGTAATAGAATCCCTCATCAAATGACATATATAGTTCCAGTTACATACCTCTAATGACCCATCTTCTCCGTAGAGAGATGCATCCAGTAGCTCAGAAACCTCCTGATCTATTCTCTCTTCAGAAGTATTTGGATATCCTGGAACCGGTGTCAGCTTAATCAGATTGGATTCGGCATTATAATGCGATATTTCTCCAACCTATGAGCAGAATTAGGTAAATACAAAATTCAATGCCAATAAGATTGGGAACTATAAAACAACTAAAGTTAGATAAGTGCATTACTCGAAAGGAGCAAAGCTCAGGGGTCCAAGTTGATGATAGCTCAATTAGGCGATATGCAACTAAATCTCCCTCCTGCATTTAAATATATATATTTAAAACTGAAAAAAAAAATTGCTTTTATCTGAAGAATATTAATACAAAATAAATATATGGCAAAATAACAAAATATACCTTAGGTGAGCTAGAATAGGGCGTAAGCTTGTCAAAGTCAACGTCATCAGTTACAGTGGCGTTTTTGTTATCCTCCACCATTTCAGAACTCAGTTGACTAAAAGTGTTATCGTTCCTTTTCATACAAGAAGTTCTCTCCATACCCCATTTTTGACCCTTTTTCTTGCTGGTTATTCCATTCCATTGAAAGATATTCTGATCATGACCAAACAACAAATTTGACATCAATGAAAAATCAGTCATCAGAATAAGAACCCATTAAGGAAAATGTTAGCGCATCTACAAATAGATGAACCAAATTAAGCAATATCTAAAATAATGGTTGTGATAACAACTATACAATTTCAAGGAAAAGAAGGGAATGCTAAATTAGTTCTATTTCCCTCTTTTTCAAGTAAACTGTGCACCTGAAAATAAAGGAAAATGTTATGCAGATATATGTAAGCTAGAAAAGTCGGTATGATATAACCAAAACCACACCTTCACCTCCAAACCAACCCTTTCCCTCCCCTTCCCTTCCTTTCAAGATAAGTTCACCATCTAATGGAAATAATCTCTGTGCCACCCTCACTCAGTCCCCTAATTCCACTGGACAGTACACCTCCTCAAAGCAATTTCATAACAACAACAACAAAAAGAGGAGCTATGGTGAAATTCACAAACTATAAAAAAATACCAATAAAACATACCACTGGAATTTGACTTTGTTGGACCGCTTGCTCTGAATCTTCTGAAAAACAACACATTTCAGAACATTGGAAACCATTTCTCAAGCTTTATGTTGTAATTCCAGACAGTGAATCACTAATATCAACCGGCTAAGCCTCAAGAACTAGAAAGATAGGGAATCAATACCTTCTTCAAGGGGCTCAAAGCGAATATGTCCTCGCCTAACTACCATTGGAGCCATGTTATCCTCGACATCATTATTGCCAATTGGTTGTCGATGCTCTTCTGAAAATTTGAGGTTCTCTTTTGCACGTGATTGCTGATCGTCTTTTTCATGCATCTGTTTTGATTGCAGCTGCAAATCAGATCAAACATAGTTATCATCATAGTCAATGAGGTAGGAGTTTCATTTTTCTAAAGGCATACAGGTACGGACAAACAAACCATACAAATGCTTTATTAGTTTACAAAATTTATGATTTACCAAACAATGTAAGAAATATTGCAATCAAATGTCTGCATTTGTTCATATACTAGAATATGTAAGCTGTAACCTTTAATTTTCACCTTAATATAAACGAAAAAATCACACCAACTCTCAATTACATCCATGTATAATATGTTCATAGGAAATAAAGCCAAAAAAAAAGTATATTACTTGGCCAAGAAAAATTCTGAATCGTCAACTTGAATCATTTATGTGGAGGCATTTTTTCTCTATTGATAGAACCGCTTATCTGAAGACAAAAAAACCTGACCTTAAAAGGCCCAAAATAACTTTACAGTATTTCTAAAGACTAATTACCTTTTCCTTTTCAGTTTTGGCCTGCTCCCTCAACCATCGCCTTTTAGCCTTTTTGCGCCGTGCACTTCTACTAGGGAGCTGGACAGTAAGAAATTAAACAGAAGGATTGGTTGTGTTAGAACTGGAATAGGGATAGAGCAATAGGCCAGCGAGATCATTTGAAAATTTTGATATTATCAAGCAATTACTAGAATAGGGTTGGTTATTGTAAAGGGAGTGTTTATGTTTGTTTTTTAAACATTATGTATCTTTCGGTTATTAATGAATTCTAAGGCACTCTTTTCCTCCTTCCGCTGATCAAGGAGCACTCTGTGCTCCATTAATCATGAAGGGGGTTTTTAACAAGGCCTACTTTCTTATAAGGAACATAACCATCAACATCTAACTAAGTTATGTGGCATGGATGTACGATTAGGTAGTTGTGTGGCCTGCGTTTAATGCTCCGGCTAACAATGGTACTGACTCTTCATGGACACAACAAACTTAATAAACCATTTTTCTAAAAGATATGATACCATCTCAGGACATTGATGAATCTAACTAGAAAATACTAATTTATTCCATTCAAAACAATGGTGTCAATGATAACCTTTTTAACTTCAGTAGTTGTCATAGGTTCATTGTCGCTCCCTTTACTAGTATTTTGAGGATGGGAGAACCTGTAAAACAGAATCAAGCGAATGAAAAAAAATACCCTTCCACAATACAGTAAGAGAAGCAGTGAAAAGGAAAAACAAATTCTGATACGAGCATAGGACGGGTGTATCAAATTGGGTTTATTACTTTATCCACACAAGCATTTTGCACAAAAGGTGAACCAAAACAAAATGAGTGATATAAAATAATAAAACTCAAAACAATATTTTAACTACATCATCAAGATAGTTATTACCTCCCCAAATTGGTTTGATCATCACTACTTTCATCAATTTCCGGGCCACTTGTATTCTCTGGTTCTCCCTGAATTTTAATTGCATTCTCCTTCTCAACAACCTTGTCATTGGAAACAACCTTTTGTTTATGAGATCTTTTCCTTTTCTTTGGACGAATATCAATTCCATCATCTCCGAAAACCGGAGATTTCTCAGAACCAGCCAATTTGCTTTTCTTCTTCCTGAAAATAAATTTAGCATAAAGTCGAAATTAAAAGTGATAAGCAATTATTAGAGCAGGTATCTAACAAACCAAGTAAAAGAAGAAGTTTAATGAGATTGTATAAAGTTATTTACCTCGAGCTTGGAAGTTTATCCCGACCCTTCCTTTTCTTCGAAACCATGTTTTCGATTGGTGTGCTTTCAACTTGTGCCTGATTCTCCAATGGCACATGTTCTCGTTCATATTCTTCCGATTCACTTTCGTATCCCCCGGTTTCCTTACCAAATTCCTCATTAGATAGAAGCTTGCCGCCTGTATTCACAGTCAAATGTTCTACAAATTCCGATTCTTCCAAAAGGTTGAAATCATTAACAGACTTGATAATCTCAGTCGATTTCCTTCCTTTCTTCTTCACACTGTTTTCATAATAAACAAAAAATAACTATACAAAACAAAGCATGTACAATTTACAAGAGCAGAAATAAACAAACCTGACAATATCTTTATCTTTTAAAATACAAATCGATTCGAAAGGCGGCAAAGCAAAGCCATCCATCTGCAATGTAAAATTAATGGCGTGACTCGTGACAAAGCAATTTATGTATAAATTAGGGTATGAAGAGTTTGAGATTGATAGAGGGGCTTACGTAGAGGATGAGGCCGTTGGTGCAAGATTCTCGGAGGTAGAAAATGTCGAGAAGATCGGAGGTGAGATCGGAGATGGTTTCATGTTGTGGTTTAAGGAGAAACCAGCTTCGCTTTAAGCCTTGTTTCTTCTGCGACTTGCTGAGAATGTTCGGATCTTCGAACACCAAACGGAGCCGTGCCGTCTCCATTTCCGATGACTGAGGAAATGCGCAGAGAAATGAGAAACGTGAACTTTGCTGTTTGGCCTCCGTTTCATAAACCCTCCGCCATGGTTTCGTGGTTTTTCTATTGTGAGTTAGCCACTGTCGAGAATGATTGACTCACGAGTTGTCCGAGTCCGCTCAAAAGGCTTTGGGCTGTTTGGTTGATGGGTCACTGAGCTGGCTCGTCGATTTATTATTTTTATTGGGCTGATACTCAGTATTCGAACTACGGCCCATATGGCTGAGGCTAGGTATTTGACAAAGGGATACAGCTCGAGTGAAATACAGAAATGAACCCTAAATTATGTTGAAATGATTTTTTGGGGTCATTTAAAGTTTCAGAAGCTAAAAAATTAAACTTTCAAAATAATTTTAAAAAATATCATTATGCTTTATCAAAATATTATAAAATGGTCTTTAAATTTATTAAAGTTTCTCAGTGTTTTATAATTTAAAATGATAATTAGTGACCATTTTTTAATTTTCTGAAACATAAGTGGCTAAAAGATTATTTTAATATAATTTAGTGATCAAATATAATTTTACCAAACAAATTTTAGTCCCTAAACTTGACTTTAGGACAATGAATGAGGCAAGACAGACCATAAGGTACTCAAGTTCGATTTAGTTGAAATTTGGTCAACACTCTATTCAAATAGACTAGATTTGAATTCTTAACGAATAGAAGTGAGTTATTTAATACACAACTCAAAAGGCTCGCAAACAACTTGAAAATTAATAATATTAAATTTTTGTTTGTAAGTTAAGCTATCAATAGTATTAGCATTTATATATTATTTTTTAAAAATAATTTAAAGTTTTCATGTACTTAATGTTTAGGTTCGCGTTACAACCAAGCTAAGTGCAAGAATATTTTCAGTTCAAGTTTCTTTAGTTCGAGCCGAGTCTCAATTTTGATTTAAAATTTAAGTTAAGTTTGACAATTGTATTTATAATATATGTGTACGTTTCTAATAGATTATTTAAAAAAATAAATATTATATTATAGTTATTCTAAGCTATTGAAAAATAGGAAACTATGCATTTAATACATAAGTTACTAGTTTGGGTTTGTTTTAACACCTAAGCTTTTATTTTTCAAAATCATGCATAACGTTTAATTTTTGTTTCATTTTAGTACCTGTCGTTAAAAACTTAACAGACGGTTGACTTGGCATAGCTCCGATGGACGAATGACCAATCCGAACGGTAGACCATGAGAGAATGACGAGTCAACCAACATATCACAGTCCCATCGAATCGAATGATGGACCATGGAAATTAGAGAATGAAGAAATCGAAGAGTTAGAGGTGTTCAAATGGTTAATTCGGTTAACCTAACTAACTGAATTACCCAATTTTCATTAATCGATTTTTCCTCCTTTAACCGCTAATTGAACCGATTTTTTTTAATTATCGAAACTGAACTAAGTTCAATTTATTGATCGATTAACCGAATTAACCAAACTTTATAAATAATATATATTATATATTATATATTTTTTGATTTATTCTATTAATTCGGTTAAAACCGAAGTTTAAACACCCCTAAAACTAAATAATATATATATAATATTAAATATTAAATAATTTCAGTTAATTAACCAAAATCAAAGTTTGAAAGAAAGAAAAACATGAATCGTCAACCAACTTAATCTAAAATTAATCGACCGATTAAACGATTGAAATTTTGGTTCGGTCGATTAATTCAATTTTAACCGAATTATGAACACCCCTACGAAGAGTCAATCGTCAATTTGAGGAGATTGTGGTGTTTCTCGATGAAATGGAGATCGAAATCGAGTTTAGGAAGTCAAAAAAGTTTCAGGCTGAAAAGTTTGGACTTTATCGATCGACGAATGCGATGATCGACGACTGTAGACACAGGGGTCAACGATTATAGATGTGGCAGTCGGCAAGTCTGTGTGCTAAGTTTTTAACCACGGATACTAAGATAAAACAAAAATTAAATATTATGTTACGATTTTAAAAATTTAAAATTTCAGATACTAATCACACACAAGCTAATAGTTTATATAATAAACGCATAATTTATCATAAAAAAAGTCAGATCTTAAAATTTGAATCAGTAAATTTTAAACACAAGATTCATACCTATACTTACCATCTAAAACAAAGAAGTTAAACAGTATAATCTCTTTCATGGTTACATAGGGATAGATAGAAGATGTGTTAAGGTGCAGTCGCATTCATTAAATATTTTTAATTTATTTATATTTTATATAATTTCTTTTTATATTTTAAAATTTTATAATTTCGCACCTCCAATTTTTTAAACACACATCCCATCACATAAATTATTGTGTTCGGATTAGGGGTGTAAACGAGTCGAGTCGAACTCGAGTATCGCAGCTCGACTCGAACTCGAAAACTTTAAATATAAGCTCGACTCGACTCGAAAACTCGCGAGCCTAAAATTTTCAAACTCGACTCGAACTCGAAAGATAATAATGAAACTCGACTCGAACTCGAAAATGCTCAAACTCAAAAAAAAAATTCAGGAGCTCGATTGAAGCTCGAGACTCGAGCTCGATTGAAGCTCAATTTTGAGCTCGATTCAAGCTCGAACTCAAACTCGAATTTGAACCTACAAAAATCTTATATTGCATTTAAAATATATAAATAATTTTCCCTTTAATCAACAATCACCAATACATTATAATATGAATGTATGAACTATAAAAATCTAAAAAAAATAAAAATACAATTACAAGAAACTTAAGATAATTAATATATGGTGCAAATCCACCAGGAGGAAGCCCGAGACAGTGCGCTACCCACGTGAACCCACCGAGGAAGACCCATGCTGGTCAGCCATCCACCGAAACCAATGTTGTTGTCGCCTATGCTGGCCATGCTCGAATCCATGCCCTGCAGACACACAAAACAAGGGATAGAGCACCAAGCACAACAAAGGACAGAGCCTGCAAATGCTGGCCATGCTCGAATCCATGCCGTTACACGTCATTTAGAAACAACCTGTTAAAAAAAGACTAATAGGTATAATAGAAAACGAGTTAGTTTTGTTTGTCTAGACTCTGGAACAAGTGGGTTGTCAGGGTTTGGATCAGTCAGTAAGGAGCAGATTGAGAGCAAAACATGTTGTACTAGTGTTAGTTTTGTTGACAATGTTTATACATTGTACTATTTTAACCATGATATTAGCAGGAGTAAGGACATACCTTGGAAATGGTTAGTGCAGGGCTCCATTGTTCTTTTAGGATATCAAGACAAATGCTCTCGTTGCTGTTGATGTTTGGATGGAAGACCTTGGTTCTAAATGCAACCTATACAACAAAACAACATTGTCTATGAAAAGAGTGTGTAGAGTATCATACGAACAATCATCAACACTAGAGTAAAACATCGCGGGTGAAGTAAATTACCTTAGGAGGCTTGAAAGAGTAGTCCGGAGGAAAATGAATCGTAACTAAAAATACACCTCCAGCATAAGGGCTATCGGAAGGGCCCACGATTGTTGCTTGCCAATGAAACATGTCTTGAGCTACAGGACCTATTAAAAAAAAGCATCCAAAGGTTACCTAAATGTCATCCATTGATGCACAAGTCAAAGTTCAGATAATAATAATGAACAGTCTGAATCGGATCAAGCAATTCTAGTATAGGAACCGAAAAGTTTGTCGATTAAATCAAAATCAAGTTGGAAGGCAAACAGACTACATGAAGATCAAGGCCTAAGGAAGGGATTTGCTCATTTTTCATGATGAAAACATTCATTTTCAACAATAAGCAGCCCTAACGTATATAAGGGTAAACGAGCTAAAGCAAATACAAGGAGTCAAGTTTGGAGCTTTGGGGTTTTAAATTTTTAATCGATTTTATTCATAAGCTAAAACTAAGTACGCAGTTAAAAACAATGGAAAATGTAGGGTAAGCAACATAAACAATGAGATCAAAGTATGGTATTGTTGGTAAAGATATATTGACGTTAGGCGGTAGAAGATGAAATGTTACCAACACTGCAAGAAGTGGGTGGATCTTTCTGCAAATCCCTGAGTTCCTTCAAAATCCGCTTTGAAGCCATGACGCTCGAATAGAAAAGAACGCAACAGAACAGAGGACAAAACAAAAATTCTTTCTAGATGGACAGGAGTCAGGAGAGAAAAAAAAGAAACGAAAAGAAAGCTAAAAATATAGAAGGGAATAACAAGTTAGAAAAGTATAAAGCTTTGAATTCAAGGATCAAATTTTGAAGGCAGAGAGATCCCTATCCTCTTCTCCACCCGCAAATCCCTTGACTTTTCACTTGAAGCTTCAAACTAAGACACACAGAGAGAGCAATTTTGCTATTAGGGCTGTGCGACTGTGTTTGGTATTTTGTGTGCGTGAGTTTAGTTTAGGTTTAGTTAAATTTAGGTTTCATATTAATTTTTTGATAAATTAAGTTATAGTCCCCCAAACTTGAGCACGCTTTTGTAAATCCTTATTTTAATTCTTGATTTGTATGTTGAATTTTGCGTTTATTTAAATTTAGTCATTAGTTTAATATGTATATGCATGTTTAATAAATTTATAGTTTGGTATGTTATATTTTAATTTTTGTATTTTAATCACATTTGTTTAAATTTTCTTATTTGTTTTAAATGTTCAGGTGTCATTTATGTTATTTTCCATTTTATTTTAGCTTAAACCGAATAGTATCAATTGCGTATAAGACCCTAAAGTTTATACACATTTTGTATTTAAGTCATTGGTTTAATTCCAATTTTGTAAGTTTAATTTTACATTTACGGGAATTTAATCATCATTCTAAAGTTAGTATATTTAGCTTAAATTAGTCCTCACATTTAGGTTTCTCTTAATTTAGTCTATGTTTAGGATTGTTTTCTTTAATTAGTTATGTATATTTATTTTCCATGTTGATATGTTTATGTATAAGTATGCTAATGATTTATTTAGGAGTCACATAACATCATTTTGCATAATTTGTATGTGACTTTCATGTGCATAACTTAACTCCTATCATATAATCGGGTTTAGGGGTTAAGGTTTAGTGTTTAAGGTTTATAGTTTAAGGTTTAGGATTTATGGAATAGATTTTAGGGTTCATTACAAAGACATTAATTAATCGACTTAGTATCGATCTATGAGGTAAATATAATTTAGGGTTTAGGGTTTAGACTTTATGATTTATGTTTTAGGGTTTATGGTTAGGGTTTAAGGTTTAGGGTTCATTATAAAATATATTAATTAAAATTTGAGGGTAGTTGTATTATAGAATTTTTAATATATTTTTAAAATGTTATAATTATCAATAGTGTATTTTTAATAATGTAATTTTAAAAAATCTAAAATTATAATATAACATTTTTTCGAGCTGCTTACGAGCTTTTCGATTCGAGTATCGAGTAGCTCGTTTCGGCTCGTTAAGAACTCGAGTCGAGCTCGAGTCGAGTTCATTCGATCCGAGTATTTATCGAGCCTTGATCGAGTCGATCTCGAATAACTCGCGATATGTCTCGTCTCATTTACAGCCCTAGTTCGGATGTACACCAAACAATTATAACCATTTCTCAATAATTTCTTATTGGAGCGTGCATTTCACTTGGCTTCTTGCGCGTCTAAAGTTGTATCAACTCATTCCTCGTCACTCTCTCTTTTGGAAAAGTTGGCTTGGGATATTTTCTCACAAAGCGTAACGACCAACGGCGCAAATATAAAGACGTAATAACTGTAACCCGCTCTTGAACTTCATCGATTGCAATCGGAGCTCCGGGTCTATTAATGGAGCCCATCTCATTTTCCCTCTCTTTTATATATCTGTCTCATTTTTCGCTTTAATTTTCTTCTCTCAAAGAAAGCAAAATATCGAAAAGAAATAAATTAATAATATAATTTTTCCCGAAAATGTCGAGTCCCTGGGGCCGCATCGGCGCGTGGGCCGCCGAGGCGGAGCGAGAAGAAGCGGAGGAACGTGCGGCTGCGGAAGCAGAGACAGCTGCTGGACACACGGCTGAATCTCAGAGTTTCCCTAGCCTGAAGGAAGCCGTTAGCGCGAAGCCCAAGAAGAAGAAGAAGCAGACTCTGTCGGAGTTTTACTTGGGGACTTACTCGTCATATGGCGGGGGCGGATTGGGTGGTGATGCTAAGGTGACGGAATACAATAGGCTGACACCCCAAGAGATGATGCTTCTCCCTACCGGGCCCAAAGAACGTTCCGCCGAGGAATTGCAGTATGGACGTCTCGGGGGTGGGTTTTCATCTTACGGGAGAACGGGTCCACATGCAGGTCGGGGTATGCGTCACTACGAAGATAGCGATGGATCGTGGGGCTCCGGAAGGAGGCAGCACGGAGGTTTTAATGAAGAGAGACGGGGTCCGTCTTCTAGGGTTTCTGATTTCGATCAGTCGTCGCGTGCTGATGAAGTGGATAATTGGGCAATGACAAAAAAAGTAATTCCTTCAATGGATTCGGGCAGGCAAAACCGGTATGGTGGGCTTGGAACTGGAGGAAGTGGTGGATTCTCTAAGGCTGATGAGGCTGATAATTGGACAGCTGGAAAACGGTCAATTCCAACTCGATCTTCAACTTTTGGTTCGGGTTTTGCGGACTCTGGACCAGAGCCTGATAGATGGTCCCGAGGTGGTGTTCGCGACCCTGGACCGGAACCTGATAGATGGTCCCGAGCTGGTGCTCGCGACCCTGGACCGGAACCTGATAGATGGTCCCGAGCTGGTGTTCGCGACCCTGGACCGGTGCCTGATAGATGGTCCCGAGGTGGTGTTTGCGACCCTGGACCGGAGCCTGATAGATGGTCCCGAAGTGGTGTTAGTGATACTGGACCGGAGCCTGATAGATGGTCTCGAGCTGGTGTACGTGACTCTGGACTGGAGCCTGATAGATGGTCTCGAGGTGGTGTTCATGACTCTGGACCGGAGTCTGATAGATGGTCTCGAGGTGGTGTTCGTGAATCTGGACCGGAGCCTGATAGATGGTCTCGAGGTGGTGTTCGTGACTCTGGACCGGAGCCTGATAGATGGTCCCGAGGTGGTGTTCGTGACTCTGGACCGGAGCCTGATAGATGGTCCCGAGGCGGTGTTCGTGACTCTGGACCGGAGCCTGATAGATGGTCTCCAGGTGGTGGGGGCGGAATCAGGGAGGAAAGGCCTATATTAGCTTTGGATCCACCACAAGGGTGGGTGAATGAGCTTGTGGTTAAAACAAATAAATCGAATCCTTTCGGGGCAGCAAAGCCAAGGGAAGAGGTGTTAGTAGAGAAAGGACTGGACTGGAAGAAGCTAGATTCTGAAATTGAAGCAAAGAAGGAAACTACTAGGCCTACCAGCGCTCATTCCAGCAGGCCTTCGAGTGCGCAATCTAGCAAGCCCGAAGGTCCCCTGCAGCAAGGGATTGAAAATGCAATCAAGCCTAGGCCAAAGGTCAACCCTTTTGGTGATGCTAAGCCTAGGGAAGTTTTGCTGGAAGAGCGAGGCCAAGACTGGCGTAAGATTGATCTTGATTTAGATCGTCGCAGGATTGACAGGTTCCATTTCAATTCTGTAATCATTTTGCTCATAATTTATTGCAAACTTGTCTTAGTGGGATTTTGTTTGAAGTTTTAACTGATTTTGATATGTTTCATTTAATGTTGTTACTTGTTAGTGCTGGATTCAAGTGCTTAGCATATTTGCTTCAGTAAATTTCCTTAGCCGTTGCGACTTTGCCTTCATTGCAGATTGTTTTATACTCCCTAATCCATGGGTATGCTGTACTATGTTGTCAATAAGGAATCCTTCATTGCTAAGTTTTTGAGGAGTTAGAAGAACAGTTAAAATATCATGATAAATTATATTTTATCTTTTTGGTGGTTGCTCCGTTTTTTCTTCAAACCACTAAATCACAGTCCATGTTCAGATTGTTGCCCAGAACCATATATGGCATGTGAATTTTTCCAAATGTCTGTTTCCTGTGGAGGGTTCGGTTGTTCTTAAATGGGTGTTTATGTATAGTGTAAAAGACAATAGATCATGCAATGCGTGTCTTGCACTCTGCTGGGAATTGATTTGAGTATAGGGTTCCATTTTGGAATGGAATTTTCGACTATGAGTTCCGAACAGATGTTTGGCTTCTGAGTCAAGTTTGAACTGATTTTGATATGTTTCATTTAATGCTGTTACTTGTTAGTGCTGGTTTCTAAGTGCTTAGCATATTTGCTACAGTAAATTCTCTTAGCTGCTGCCACTTTTCCTTCATTGCAGATTGTTTTATACTCCCTAATCCATGGGTATGCAGTACTATGCTGTCAGTAAGGAATTCTTAATTGCTAAGACTTTTGAGGAGTTAGAAGAACAGTTAAAATATCATATCATAAATTATATTGTCTTTTTGGTGGTTGCTCCGTTTTTCTTCAAACCACTAAATCACAGTCCATATTCAGCTTGTTGCCCAGAACCATAAATGGCATGTGAATTTTTCCAAATTTATGTTTCCTGTGGAGGGTTTGGTTGTTCTTAAGTGGGTGTTTATGTATTGTGTAAAAGACGGTAGATCGTTGTATAAAAAAAAATACAATAGATCATGCAATGCGTGTCTTGCCCACTGCTGGGAATTGAGTTGAGTATAGGGTTCCATCTTAGAATGGAATTTTCGACTATGAGTTCCGAACAGATGTTTGGCTTCTGAGTCAAGCTTTTACATTTTTTTCATGCATTAAATTCACGTACTGTTGTATTATAAAATTTATTTTATTTATGAAAACACAGCCAACTGAATTTTTGGTCGAGTTCAGAACAGAGGTTTGGCTTCTGAGTCAAGCTTTTGCAGCTCTTTCATGCATTAAATTAACATGCACTGTTGTATTCCAAAATTTATTTCATTTATGAATACACAGCCAACTGAATCGTGACTTAAATCCATTCTTGGTTATGTTACCATATAAGCATCGGGGCTTGTTGAATGAGAAGCTTTTATTTTTTTTTTCCTTTCTTGGTGAGTTAGGGAAGTAAAATTATGTTTTTCTTTCCACTTTTTGGCCCAGGGGATTCTTTTTTCTAGTTACGTTCTCTTGACAGCTAAGCTTAGTTTGCATATTCGTAAATTTACATGCATTTACTAGATTTAAAATGTTAAACGTTGCTGTTGGTTTGTTATCTTTGCCACTTGTTGCCTTTTGGTGCATGAGGACAACAAAGATTCAGTCCTTAATAATGTTCAGAAGTTGCTTATGTACTGAAATAGTGATATTCTCTGGGATTAATGTGGAGCATATGTAAGCAAGTAGCATATGCACTGCTAGCCGGTAGGTCCCAAACAGTTACCTATTGCCTTTAAATTTGTCTTTTCGGTCCAAGATTAAAGGCATGATGATATTACAACCCTCACCCTGTCCTTCCATCAAAGCAGTTTTGTTAAAACTCTTCTAGGCTTCGACTCTTCTTTATGGTTCTCGAAGTGCTTTGTTATTGTTTTTATGATTATATGTTGTTTTTAAGTCATTATGTGATATTTCAAGCTTTCTTTCATCCCTTTGCGAGATTATTAATGCAAATGGTTATAAGCTCTGCTTATTTATCAATTTCATTTTGTGATATTCCATTTTTCTGTTCTAACAGAATGCTTTGCTGTATTGATGTGATCCATTGTGATTTTCTGTGTAAGGCTGTAATCTAGATGGATTCAGATGCTCCAATTGTTCTATGGAATTGCTTGTTATTGTTTATAAATCCATTTAGTTCCCTTCTTGTTTGCAAGCAACTTTTGAATATATTGCCAATGCCGTTATGTTCTTCATTTCTAATTAGAAAAAAATGTTTCAGGCCAGAAACCGAAGAGGAAAAGATATTGAAAGATGAAATAGATCATTTAAAGAAGGAAGTTGAGAAAAATTCGACACGGAGTTCAGAACCTGCCAGGGACCAACACTCTTTACATGAAAAACTTCTTCACAAGGAAAGGGAATTAGAGTTGCTGATAAAAGATTTGGAGAACAAAGTTAGATTTGGGCAGAAAGCTGTTGAAAGGCCTGGATCTGGAGCTGGCAGCTTCTCCGATGGACCTCCTTCTCAGTCTGGATCTATTGATAGCTCTAGAAGTGTAGAGTTCACGAATAGGCCTAGATCTCAGGGTACTGCAGATGCACGGACAAGGCCTAGATCTCGTGGTACCGCAGATGCATGGACAAGGCCTGGTGATGAGCGAAGAAGATTTCAAGGTGGCAGGGATAGAGGATTTCAGGGAAACAGAGACATGGAAAGGTAAGGGTATAAAATATCAGCAATTAAATCTGTCATACCTTTACTGCTTTTTATTTGCTCAATCATCATGGAAAACTTGGCGTCCTTGTCTTCCCCTATTTTATTCTAATGTCGTTTTTCATGCATCTTTGAATCTTTCTTTTTTCTTTATGGTTTTTAGTGAACTAGAAACCAGATTCGGAAGCTGCATTTTTGTTTTGTTCCTTTATAGGACCGATACATGTTAATTGAATGAAGCGTTCACAGTCATTGCATTTGTGATGCTCTCTTGCACATTGTAATACCAGAGTCTGCAACAATGCATATCTGCTCACAGAAATCGGACTAATGAAATCATGATATTTTTTAATATTGCAGGCCAAGATCGAGGGAGAGATGGTGAACCGCAATCGGCATTGCTTTGTCGAATTCCGTCAAATAACCTTTGACAACATGGACCGATAATATTTTGTTACCTTCATGCTTATTGCTCTGGTAAAGTGGGGTAAAGGATTCTTGAGTATTGTAACAAGGAACTATGCATTATTCTCGGTGCTCTCTTGTAAAATGGCCTTTCCTCCAGTTTTCTCCCCCGTATTTTTATTTTATTTGTTCTTTATAGAGCAATGGGACTCGAATTTTGATTAAGAAACATTGTTTGGTTCACCAGTTTTTATCTTCAATATTCCTTTGGTACATAACGTTTTAGTGTCTAAAGAAATTTTCGTTGAAAATATGTATTTATCATTTTTTAATTATATTTTTAGGTGTCTACCGATGATGGTGGCGGTGAGGGTCAGTGTCGCCCGGCTGACCGGCATATACCCACCCTTCATGAATCTCACGAATTCTCCTGGTTTATTTCAGAATTTAATCCTTTATACTTTAAAAAAATTCAAAAACAATCTCTCTAATTTTATGATACAGGTACACGACTAATAAACAATATATATTTGGACAAGGTTAACAAATAATGAAACCTTATATATGACATTTAGTCATATATCATGAGACGTCAAAAATATCAGTTTGGGCATGTACCAATGCTTTCTAATATTAAAAATAGTTTTCTTAAGCATTACAGAAAATAGTTCAATGAGATAACAATACTAAAATTTCCAACCATTTATATGTTTAGAATTAGGAAAATAAATAACCCAATAATATATAATAGTATATTTAACTTCAAAAATGATTTTAAACGTGTTTTACGAAAAATAAATTAAATATAAAAACTAAGAATAAATTCTACATGTTTTGATAGATATATTTTTTTATGAATAGCAATCATAGGTGGCAGTAATTGTGTGATGGTAAGATAGGAAAAATTTATAATTTAATATAGAGAACGAAGGAAACATATCATCTTATCATGTCGTTAATGATTTAATATTTTAATTGAGTTAATATCCTTAAACCCTAGTCGCTCACCCTTTCTTTTTTTTCTTTGAGTTTGTATCATTTTTTATAGATCAGATCAACTTTTTCTTCTTTAATTTTCTTTAACTGGTAGCAACACTGACTTTGATGCATGTTGCCTACCACTAATTCTCTTTTCTTTCTGTTTTTTCTTTTGTTTTTTTAATAAAAATAATTATGCATGTGTTGCACGTTTATCTTTATCTTTATCTTTGTGGTCTTTTTTTTTATTTTTTTTCGGTCGTTTGTCCGTTCTTTTATTTATGTTTTCTCTGGGTTGGATTTGACAACGCCACGACTAATCAAGATGGCGCTTATTTGAAATCTTGTTGATATTCCCTGACATGAACCTTTGGATTGAATTTGGATGCGTGATTTTGCGTTTATGGAAAGTTTCTCACGACGCTCGGCTCTGATATTCAGTTTTCAGTGGTATTTCAATAGCTTAATTCGCTTTTGTGGTTCATTTGCCGATGCATTAGATTTATTTGTATATATTTTTGTTCAAGTCTCTTGGTTGGGGTTTTAACATTTTCTATGTATGGTACTTATATGATTTAAAGTGACTAGTTTCAATATTATATTTTTAATCCCAATTTTTAGATTCATTTTTTAGATAAACGGTGAGCCTCATTAAAAACCCCTTCTAGTCATAATCAGGGGAAAAGAGTGCCCAAATTCTATTACCGGGAAACCATGTCACAAGATACATAAAATGCAATAATCTCAGGACAAACCGAGTCAAAGAACAAAGAACTACCCAATCGTAATGCCTAGGCAGCCAAAGTATGTTCTACCTTGTTGCACTAGCGTCGTACGAACTGAATTACAAACTATGCATTACAGTCAAACAAATTTCAGGCTTCCACTGAAATCTTGTAATGGAATCATCAGGTGGTCTATCTCGGATCTTGTTCACCACCATAGCAGAATCAGACTCAAATACCACATTCGTCCGTTGGTTCTCGATAGCAAAGCGCAAACCAGCCACAATTGCATGTACTTAAGCAATCCCAGCTTTCCCACAAGATGGCGCTGAGACCACCATACCCCCTAGGGGTAACCCAGCAACATCATGAGCTATTATACCCAATGTCGTCATTCGTCGTTGCGGATCGAAAGCCCCATCAACATTAACTATAACAACTCCAGGGTCGAGCGGACGCCACTTCTGTTGGGCAACACTAGCCGGCACCTATCGCGGTGGAACTCTGGTTGTCCGTGCTCCTCCACGAACAGTGGAATTCCTGGCCGATTTAAACGCATTCTGGAGCACCTGCACTTTTAAAGCTATAAGCCACAGAGGTTGAAGTTTATCCTCATGGACTAATTTTTTTCCTTCCATTCCATATATTCCAAAGTAGAACCGCAAAGTCAGTGAAACGTTCAATGGCGAAAAACTGCAATAACACTTCTACCCAACTTAAACTAGATTCTTCGGTGCGAAACAAGGTACCCCAGAAAAACCAGCCTCTTGCATGGCCACCTGGGAATACCAACAGCCACGCAAAGCATGAGCAGCTATTTCCTCATCAGCTTGGCACATAGGACACAATCCAAATCCTAAACATACTTCCCGAAGACGTTTACCAACAGACAATCCATCATGCGCCAATCACCACATAAATATATATGTATTTTTGGAAGAACCGATAATTTAGCACTGTGAGAATAGTTGAGTGACTAAGTATGTGATTTACCACTGTATTTTTTAACAAAGATAACAAATTGGGGCAAATGGGGTAACAATTTTTAGTTGAGGGAGCAAAAAGGTACGAAAAATACTTTAAGGGGCAACTCGATAAAAAAGGTACAGTTAGGGGGAAAATATGCAATTAAGCCTTTTTATAAATCTATATTAATTTTAAGTTTTTTTTTAATATTATTAGTTAAATCCCTCCCATAATTTTTAAAATTCTCATCAAGCCTCTCAAAATTTTAAAAAATATAATTATACCCCAATTTTTCTAAAAAAAATGTAAAGTGAACCCTTCAAAAATTTTGAAAAATTTAATTTAAACTGCTAAAATTTTTAAAATTTTAAGTTGGACCCCAAACTTTATCACAAAGTTCTATCATTGGATCCGCCACTAGCTTGATCTGACTTGATCCTATTGAGTTAGATTTTTAAAAAAATAGATTCTATTTTGACATCGTCAAATTTTTTAAGGATAAGCTTGGACCACATCGAATTCATGTTCGAAGTGAAAAATACTAAATCTAACCGTACTCCAGAATAATTGTATAATTGATCTTTATATATTTAGAGGTATTTGTTATAATATCTTTTATGTAATCAAGTCTCTATTTTATTTAATAAAAATGAATCTCTCTTCATTTGTTATTTGATCAACCCTAATCACTACTCACAACATGAATACAAGGCCTAATCTACCTCCTTGGAGCCCATCATCAGTCCTCATACTGAGCCAATTGCCCAAAGTGGTCAGGGTCGATCCAGAGCTAGAAAAACCCAAAAGCCGAAATTCCTAGAGTAAGGGCAAACTCGGAAACTAGAAACCTCACCCCTAAATAAAACCTCCTCAATAACCCTACTTTTATTTTGCCTCTCGCAGCCGCTCTGAACCCTAATTTCCCCTCCCTAAGCTGCGCACCGATCCAGAAAATGACAACCCGCTTCAAGAAGAACCGCAAGAAGCGCGGCCACGTGAGCGCCGGCCACGGCCGTATCGGCAAGCACCGCAAGCATCCGGGAGGTCGCGGTAACGCCGGAGGCATGCACCACCACAGGATCCTCTTCGACAAGTATCACCCCGGGTATTTCGGGAAAGTCGGTATGAGGTACTTCCACAAGCTCCGCAACAAGTTCTACTGCCCCATCGTTAACATCGACAAGCTCTGGTCTCTCGTCCCGCAAGACGTGAAGGCCAAAGCCAAAAAGGATGCCGCCCCGATGATCGACGTGACCCAGTACGGCTACTTTAAGGTCCTTGGAAAAGGTGTCTTGCCCGAGAACCAACCCATCGTGGTTAAGGCTAAGTTGGTTTCCAAGACTGCCGAGAAGAAGATTAAGGAGGCCGGTGGTGCTGTTGTGCTCGCCGCCTAGGTTATGCTTTTTCCAGTTTTCGCTTTGTTTTTGGATTTGAAAGACAGTTCTGTTATGTTATTATCTTGTGTTGTTCGGAGTTAAACTTGAAATGTGATTTTCAATTTATTTTGGCCAATTATATGTCAAGTGTTCGACTGTTTGCATTATTATGTTTGTTTTGCTGTGATCTATTTTGCTGAATTTTCTTGATTCAATCCTCTAATGGCTTGGTTTTGTGTGTGGTGGATTAAGTGACTCGCTGCGTATGCTGAATGCCTGCAAATTCTTTGTTGCTTATGGTTACGGTCCTCTGAAGAATATTTATGTTTTCTGATTGGCTATTTAGTGGCCTAAAAGAATGCATTGTTTTGTTTTATAATTTGCTTATGGATATGGTCTCTCTGTAAGCATATTTATGTTTTCTGATGGGCTATTTAGTGGCCTGAATGCATGGTTTTGTATTTGCATATTTGGAATCAGGGATTTGATGTTGGTTTTATGTTTCTTGTTAATCATTTCCAAGGCAAGTGGAATTGTAGGAAGGGGATGCTGTACCTTCTTACTTACTATCGTGACTAATAAATCATTTTAGCATGGGCGATAGGTTAACCGGGGTTTGATCGAGTCGTGTTTTAAGTTTTATATGAATACTATATGTAGTTGTTCGAGTTCATGTAATTACCCTCTTTAATTATTGGAATTGATCTTTTAACAAAATCCATTAAAAATATTAACTGAGAGGACAAGTTGACAATGTAAGATCGATAACAGCTTCTTTAACTTGTGAATTGGATGAAAATAAATCTGGGTATTGGTCCAAGAGTGGCCACTTAGCTAAGAGAGGTCAAAAATGAAGAAATTGCCTTTTGTTTTGCTTTCCTTGAGCCTCCATATTTCATTCGACACTGTAAAATAGTAAGACATGTTAGAACCAAACTATATGCATGCTTTTTTTTTTGTTCTAGCTACTTCAAGTTCAGTGTCTACATATGTTCAGAAACATTCATCCCTAGAGCTACCATGGTATCCATCTGGAATGTGAAGGCTATTTACACAGGTTTACGCAGGAAGTG